TGTTCTGGAGGAGGTGTTCATCGTGGGGTAGGTGAATCGGCTATGGGGGTGGCTAGGTTATGGGTTGGGGTTTTGAATATGCGTAGGTTATAGGTTAGTGTACAGGGGGTGTGGGGGAGGGAAGGGATGAGTGGTTGGTGTGTCTGGTGATGTGAGGGTGGACTCTCGGTGGTAGGGGGAGGGGGTGGAGTGAGTTTGTTAAGTCGGGGGGAGGGGTATTTGTTGGTCCTATTGTGGAGTAGTGCTGTGTAGCTGATTTGACAGTCGATGTGTGGGTTAGGGGAGTTGTAGAGCTGTTTTGTGTCTGTGGTAAGACTAGCCAGTTTTTGAGAACAAGTCTGTCGTTGTTTATTGTGCCAGGAATGCCATTGCCTAATTTAGAGGTTGAGAGTTTTTTTATTTTTTCGGTTTTTTTGTCGAGGTCGGTGGGGAGTAGTTTAAACCACCAGTACTTGGCTCAGCTATCGGCCACGGTAAAAAATAGAGTAGAAATGTTTCTAGTCGGATGAATTTGGGCGCTCATGTAGTAGCCCGTACGTTTCCTAAAATCATGGCGGGTTAACGGGCACGACTCTAGGAAGTACTGGTGGTTTCAGTTGTTTCTTCCAGGGAGCGTGGATTTCGGTGTTTATTAATTGTTTAATGATGATGAGTGGGGTATCTGGGGTGGTGAGTCTGTCATGGAAGGTGCTGTCGCATCTGTTTTTCGATATGGCCCAGAGCGTGCTTTTTTTAATTTGAGAGGAGAAGAAGGCTTCGAAGCCTTTGAGTGGGGGTGATTGTTTGAGATCGAGGAATAATGTGGCTGGGTTAATTAGGAGGGGAGTGTTTGAGATTTTGTTCCATGATAGCTCTAATGCTTGCCAGAGGGATCTGGCCTTCGGGCAGTCTATGAAACAGTGATTCAGGGATTCAGGGGAATTGAGGTTGCATACCTTGCGCCAGGAGTCTTGCTGTGAGTTGTTAGTGTGTTTACGTCTAGAAGCCAGCCATTGATTTACAGGTACTGCTCTGAAGGCTATTAGCCATCTCAGGCTGGCCAACTTGACCGGTCTAGCGGAGAAGATTGCGGCCCAGGGAGGTTTGAGGTGAGTGTTGATTAGTTGTGTTTCCTCCTTCGCCCACCTGTTATGTAGCGTGTTGGATATTGATATGGGTTTGGTGAAGAGACGATATCCTAGTTTGGGTGTGTAGTCAATTAACTTATATAGGTTTGGGGTGGGGGAGGTGCTAGACGAGGTGTTCCATGTCCATTCCGTTGGGTCGATCTCTAGGTTGCAAACACTGATGTGGGGTTTGTGTCGTCTGTTTCTTTCTCCTGTTAGGACTCTGATTCTTCTCAGGTTGTTATTTTTGAATGCTCCTTCTGCTCTACTTTTGTTATTGATGTAGCTTGCCAGGTTTCCTGGTTCCTCTAAGGTGTAAATGCCGCAGCAGATCCAGCGGTTGTTGTGGGATTCATAGTTCTTGAAGGAAAGGGCTTCCTGAGTTGATGGGGAGTCAATTGTGGTAGCCCAGTCTCCATATTGCCATTTTTGGTCTGATTTTAGCAGGATTCTCCAGTGTTGAGGAATGCAGTCTATGACGTGATTTAAGTTGGTTTGAAGGCGATGTACTCCTTTTAGCTTGTCTCGTAGGTTCTGATTTCCAGGTTTTGTTTGGGACATCCCAGATGTGTTTGATTTAATCAGGATTTTTTCGGTTGGGATTAGGACTTTAATTAGCATACGAATTTGGGCTCGCTGCATTTCTCTGAGTTCGGCCGTAACTGAACGCTGCTTCATGCTCGCGTGCATCCTGCTGCACTCTCTTTCCACTGCGCCCCCAACTCTAATCTCAACTGTCAATCCTCTTGGTCCTCCACGGCATGTAATTGTAATATTTCCCCGCTGATCTCTTGGCGCCCATGCTTTTTCCTGCCTTCTCTCTTTTCTCATTGGCCAGAATGATGCATGCCAGGATCGATGCATGGAGAGTGGCTTAGTCCCCCACACCGCGGTACAGGCCTGCTGATCGTTCCCATCTCAAGTCCCAGTTATCCCGTGCAGGCAATCCCCACTATATCACACCTAAAGCATGACATTAGGTCTCTCTAATCTAAGCTTTGGAGTTGGCGCGGTCGAGAGGATCGGCTAACCAGAACGCGGGTGATGAGGTGAGTTGCAGAGTTGGGCGATCTGACGAGCTGGTAGTGATTGTGCAGGGTTGACATGTGGTCGCGATGGATTGCGGGACACGGGCAAACCCGGCTTGTGCAATGGGACCAAGCGGGGTGACGACTCCGGGTAGATGGTGTGTGCAAGGCGACAGACTGCCTGCACTGAGAATGGAAGTGGGTGATGACAAGGGGAGAGAGAGGGTGGTGGGTTTTGGTTGTCTCATTGATCTCGCTCTCTCCTCCTCCTCCTTTCTAAAATTTTGACATGGGAATGCAATGCGCTCACGGTTGTGTATGAATGTGTTTGACTCTTTGTGACTTTAGCTACAATTTTGATTGAGGCAGGGTCTACTTGTCTCCTTGCATGTCTGACGTGGCAAATCCGCTCGCCCTGATAGAATGCACTGATAATTGGGACGGCTTGATTTGGGAACTTTGAGTAGGGAAATTGTCTTTTTGCATGCTGTATTGATTTGAAGTTTCCTTTGCTTGCTGATCCGTGAACTAACCATCGGGCGTTGAGCATATCGGCAGCAGACATGAAGTTCAGAACATCATTCAGGGTAACTGATTGAGCCTGTCTGAAACAGCTCTGCGCCGATAACCCGCCCCGAAGTCTCCGGCCCACCCCCTTCCCTTGCCGTACAGGCCAAGAACGAGTCTGCAAGTGGGACATTCAGGAAGCCTTGGGCCGAACCCAGCGCCCCACCCAGTATCCTGATCAACGATGGACTCAAGGATATGCTCAACCGGGGTTGGTCAGCATTGAAACGGAATACCAACCCTATTACACTCTCATCCCATATCACAGACCGACTGTCATTCCCTGACCCGTGATCGCCTACGAGTGGCCCCGCATCACGTGCTTCCAGTGCAGGCAGGATTACACTTTCTGCATGCTCGGCTTGACCCGCAGGGTCCGCAGTGAAGACGAGCTTTGCTCCAGGAGCCTTCAACTGAGGCCCTCCGCGTCGGACTTGGACCTCTGCGATCCCCATTTTTTTCGGGACGTCCACTATCCCGGGAAGGGCCGTCGCCAACGACGTCGCTGATATGATGGCGCCGATACGTGCGTCGACCCTTTTTGCCCCTCTTCTAATTAAGTCCTTTCGTTGCCACTGGCACTTGAGCTAATTTTGTGTGGTCCCTGGAACCCTGGCACTGGAGATCCCAGTTCCTACCTGGGACTCCAACCCCTACTTTCCAAAAATCCTTGGCACACCCCCCACTTTGCACTTCCGCGCCTACTCCCACTCCGATCAGGAAGTCACGCTGGGCGTGACTTTGGGCATCACATGGTGGCCGTAGTAGGCACATCAGCTTTGCCTCGTCCTTTGAACATCGGAGCAGGGCTCTGCTAGTCCTCCATATCCACCTACCAGTAGAAGGTGGAAGAAGGTGTAGGACATGGCTGTGGTGGAAATCATGAGTTGCTGGCATTAAGGAGGAGATTCGGACATTGGTTCTGGTTCATTCATTCATTATTATTATTATTATTATTATTATTATTATTATTATTATTATTATTATTATTTGTTGTAATGAAGAGTTTGGGGTAGATAAGGAGATTGAAGGTGATGGCGAGTTGAAGGGGGATTTGACATTGGTCTTTCCTGGTGTACATCTTCTTCTTTCTCCTTTGTGTATTTCTCTTTCCAAGTTCTTTCATTTCAGTTGCAATTAAATGGCATTGTCTTTTTTTGAGTTATTCGCTCACTTGTCAGACAATTATTTTCCCAAAGCAAACAATTTTCAGATTGTATGAGGGACGCTGGACCCGCTTTCCAGGTGGTGCTGCTCCCCACCAATAGATGAGAGCCATGAACCAAGCTGATAGAGGTGCATGCTCTTACCATCACTCCTAGCAAACTTGGTGGGTGTTTTCTTTTTCTTTTCTTTTTCTTTTCTTTTTTTAAAGAAGAAGGGAGCCAGAATCATAACATCTTCGTCTCTCTTCTCAATTCCATCTCCCCTCCTCCTCGTCATTTGCTCTTATCACATCTTTGTTATTCATTTGTGTTGAAGACATGTCTATACTATGTGCCTTCCGGAGATGAGATGAAAAGAGAAGGGTACATGCCTTGCTTCCTTCGCTGTTCAAGAGACCGAAACACAAACTGTCAACTTATTCATTTGCTTGTTGATGCCGAGATGCAAAGTAGACAAGGAACAACAGAGTAGTGAAACAGCCGGGTGATGCCCACGGACTGATCTTTTTGTTGGTCAGGAGCAGGACTTAGAGGATGGCTACTCCTATTTCATCCTTGAGCGCCGGTGCATATCCCTGGGTTGTTTATGAGGCTCCTCATTATGCTATGATGCGGACAAAATAGTTCCTCAGTCCTCACACTAAAAAGGGAAAAGTGTTGGGAAAAGGAATATATGCTCTGATGCCCCTACATCTCGGTGATTCACTTCTATGCCTGAAGATTGGGCTGTTCACTGGCATGCCTGAACAGTGGAAGATGCAAATGGATCCGTCTTAACATCCTGTTTGCTGTTATGTCAACAACTGGCCAAAAAAATTGTAGAGGCTGTGAGGGGGCAAATATTAGAGCTGTGAACAGTTCGTTTCCACAACTTTCCAGGGTGTCCTGTGAAGAATGATGGCATTCGAATAACTCTGAATAACTGCATAATCATGCAGGCATTTGAACAGATCATGGGACTTTCCAATGTGTATAGGCATCATAGGACAGATTTCAGTTGAGTTTGACACTCCATATAACGGACATCAATTTCACCAGAACAGCCAGATCACAACTTCATTTTTGGCGAAGTGTCATAATTGCAATCACACGTTTTTGTTTTCTTTCAACTTCTTTGTGCTTTCTGGATGCAGTCGAGCTTCTCTCCACCCTTTGTGCTGGTGCAGAAGGACGCTGCACGATATCCTACTGTGCCTATTCTGCTGGGTCCAGATCTGTATCCTCTGAATTCCAGCCATTCACCCACGCCAGTGTTTCGAGAGGGGAGCTCAGAGGAGAAGATGTGTTTTGTGGAGGGAGCACAGCCATACAGGTTTGCATTCCCGGTAAGATTACCTGAAGTCACTCAATCACATCCCTTTCCCTTAAAGAGCATTGGCCGCTGGAGGAAACTTGTAGCAAGCTGCGCACCAACACAGAATTCAAGTCTGTTGGATGGCCTTGGTCTACATCCTTGAGATCGTTTGGGGCACTGTTCTAACGAACTGCTGTACACACACCAAGAAACATGCATGTAGCTTTTTGCTGGAAGTCAGTTCATGTTTTGAGCAGAGTCGTCGACTGAACTGAATATCTCTATGCGCTGATTGTTGCATTGTAACATTGCTCAAGGACAAAACCTTTTTCTTTTTTTTTTCTTTAAAAAAAAAAAAAAACCAGACAAAACCTTTTTCTAGACGGCCAAAAAAAAAAATCTGAAGAAGAAGAGCATAAAGACAGAAGAAACGAATTGGCGAATGGTTTGTTCTTCTCTACACGCAAGGGTCCATGAAAATAAAAAACGAAAAACAAAAGAAAAAAAGATAAGAAGTTATTAAAAACAGAAAAAATGTTGGGGTCAAAGAGGACAAAGTACAGACAGCCCGTGTGGCTGAATGGTACACAGTACTACACACCCATGAACTGTTGATGAACAGACCCGAGTTCGAATCCTGGTTTAGCCAGGACCAGCTGATCTTCTCTGTATCGTTCCAATTTTACCACGGATGTCGGAAATGCAGGGAATATGAGCGAGAGCGATAGTCAGAAAACCAAGTTACAAAATCACAAAGTAGTCCGGATAGTCTTGTACCAAGCAGAGAGCACAATGCACCAAGATTCCATCCAAATAAGCGCAATACAAAGAACTTGAGTGTCAATGCCGACTGTCCCTGGTCGCACCAACACTGTATCCAAGGTCGCTCCTACTGTCTGGCGCCTAGCGCCCAGCCTACTCTACTTAGCCTATCTACCTATGTACGTTCTTGCAACAGGATCACATCGAAGTCGAAGACCAATGTACTTGATGTCAACACCAATGCCGACCTCCAGCATACACCAGGTATGTTCTCTCTCCTTATCACCCCTCGTCTCCCACCTCATGCGCCTCCTAGCCGAAGACCACCTTCGCCATCACCTGCCTGCGCCCCTGCAGCCCGGCTATGGCCACTGCGCGCCCGCTGCCTCAGCAGCGCCCCTCACCTCAGTGCCCGTGCGCTTGTCCGACCGGCAGCGCCCGTGCAGACACTAGCGCAGCAACGCAGCAGCGTGTCCGCATTGCCTGCCAAGGCCAGAATGCCCGTCCATGGGGCACACACTTTCCTATATGGAAAGTGTTCGCTGCTGGCTGGCCAGTCCAGGCGTGTGGGGGCCCAGTAGCTTGCCTCTGGCCCCAGGTGTCTGCGCCCAGGCGCAGTTTCAGATACTGGCCTGGGCCTCGCGCAGTTAGGCACGTCCAGGCAGCCACCCAGCCTCCAAGTGTTTGCAGCATTCTCATTGGTTCGCGGCCTATGTGTGACGACAATGCTGCTTCCTCATTGGCCCGTAAGCAGTCCGTGATGTGTCGGCCTCAGACAGTGTGTTCCCAGGGCGCAACCACTTGAGCCCTGGGCTCAGCTGTACAGCGCAGCCCTTTGCTTCTGGAAGAGCCTGGAGGCTCACATTGCTTTGTAACCAACTGGCGTGCTGCAACTCTCTGAGTACCCACATATGGAAAATGTCGAAAACAGGCCTCACGTGAATATTCAGGCCCGCCTTCACTTAGGCGGGCACGGGCTTGCAAGGGGCCGTAGCCCAAATTACTTTGTACATCTGATAAGGGCCCCGCGAGGGCTCATTCCTTGCAGAAAGGACCATTTTATGACGATACCTCAAGGCCATCGCCGTTTCCAAAAAAGAAAAAAGAAAAGAAGAAGAAGACAGTTGGATGAAGGGCCGCACTACACTGCACATCATGCTAATGGTGTCCGAAGCCGAAATTGGTCTTGATACATTCACAATGTTAGATCAGTGTGAATGTATCTGGTATGCAGACTCTGCACGCCGTTCAGATACATGTATGTTATGAATGTGCTCCATCCATAGTGCAAACCTCAAATTACGAGAAATGCAAGACTTTTTTTTTGTTTGTTTGTTTTTGAAAGCTCCATTCTATTGGTGGGGAGCGTCACCTGCTGGAAACCAGGTCCAGCGTCCCTTAAAATTCCAAAAAGCCTAGGCGCCTGGCGCCTGCTGGAAACCGGGTTGAGCATCCCATAAAACTTTCCACACGCCTCGAACTCTGCTGGAAACCGGGTCCAGCATCCCATTTTTCTTGCCCGAAACCATTACTACCGCCTTCGGGGTTGTTGCTTGTGTCGCTGATCCCACTGCGCCCCGTGGGGGCCCCAGGGGTAAGGTTCTGGGGGGCACCAGAACCCAACCCCAAGGCCGCCCCCCCCCCCCACCTTGCTCATCCTTCTTCCCCCCACCTTGCTCATCCTTCATTTTTCTTCATGTGGTCTCGACTAGTGACAGAGGATGCAGGGGGAACATCGCAGATTTCCCTGAGAAATTCAAGACTTGCTGAAATTCAAACGAAGAGATGGAGAGAGATAAAAGGTAGATTAGAAGAAAGAGAATTATAGAAGAAGAATTACACAGTTCCTTCTCCTCATCTCTTCCTTTTCTCCGTACTCGTCCTCCTCTTAATAATCAATTAAATGCAACAACAAATGAATGACTGAACAAGAATCATGTCCAAGTGTCCCATGTTACTCCCAGCAACTCAGGAGACCACCTTTCAGCCTCACTTCTGTCCCTCATCGTAGCACCTAGGAATGTGGCAGAACTTTCATATTCATCATGGATGTTCCAAGGAAAATGCAAACACCACTATGCTAGTCCCATTTCCTCCCACCATAGCCACACTCTCGGAAGATGTACAAAGTCAACCAGGACCCACGCTGGGGCCTTCTTGATACTGTGCCAACCAAAGAAGTGAATGAAGGTCGACCATAGCCAAGGTGAGTCTCTTCCTACTCCCTTCTACTGCCGTTCTCCTTTGTCTAGCATGGGGCACTTCACCCTCTACCACCATAGCCAGACCTCTACCTCGCCCTCCAGCTTCACTGCTCCTCAAGCACTCTGCGTAACTGCCCTCTTTGGGGGGAGCAGCAGCATGACTGCCGGGTAAGACACCTGTTCACTCATTGCACTCCAATGATATACTCTTCCACTGCGGCCTCACAGCTTCACTTACGCTGTGGTAGCCCGCCTACCGCTGCCTCTCCAGGGTACTACCTACCGGGAGTTCCTGCCTTTTGCCGGGAACATTATTGCAGTGTGCAAGTCTACCTCAGGGGACATCTAGATTTGGGCTCGAATACTCGTGACCTTTTTGTAAGCTACCAGTTGTGCCAGACCTTTGTTGGGCCTGCCCAAGCTACTGGAAAATCATTGCCGGGTACTACCTGTCCCCTACTTGGTCCCTGTCCGTCCTAGCCTCTACAGGCAGTCCATTCCATCCCATCCCAATTTCAGAAAACACAGCACACAGAATCTCAGAAAATCGCAGAAGTTAATAGGTCAGGACGCTAGTCAGATCCCACAAATACCAGGAAAAAATCAAGTTGCATGGGTCCTGGGGACCATCTCATGCTAGTGTGTACATGTCATGCATCATACTCACACCCAATGATCAGTAGTCTCACACAACGGACAAAGGTAGATGAGAAGAGAACCGATTACAAAGTGTTTCAAAGTTCCCCTGAGTCCAGCGCGCATCAGCGCAACACAAATTTCTTGTCAACTCATCAATATGACTTCCAATGTATCAGCGCTACATCTGCAGATTGTCTCCAAGTCATCAATGTGGTCCCTACTCATCAGCGCCACCTCTGCAGTTCACATTCAACTCAGGTAAGTATCTTCCATAGCCAAACCTTGAATGAACACTCTCTGCCTCAGTCTCCTCCTCCCTCCTATGATGCATACACACTCTTCACTCATGAGGATCTACTCTGAATACTACTCATAGCTGACTAACACTAACCCTCCACTACTAGTGCTAACTCGCAGGGCAGCTATGGCTGCATCATTTCCAGCGTGCAATCTTCTTCCCTCACTCAGCGCATCTGCTTCTTCCAGCGCTGCTCCTACTGACTTAGAGCACAAGTGCTCCAGCACTTCCACGCAGAAACAGCCAGTGGAGATCTGGCGAGGAATGAGGCTGGCAGCTTCCTTTATACTCCTCGCTGGGTCTGCATTGGCTCAATTCAGCCTTTCCTTTGTCCCAGACCCTGCATTGCATGTGTCCCAGTATAGTCCCAATGAGGTTCAACTGCTGCTGAGGCCTCTCAGCCTAGATTTGGACTTGAAAGTCTGGATCTGGACTGACCCCTTGACTCAGACCAGAACTGGGACTGTATCTATTGACTTTACTTTCGGACAGGCACAACTCTAGACGAACAGACACATTTACTGCCGGAACAGACACTTTCCTTTGCATGAACAGGTACACTGTCTGCACGTACAGACACACCCTTACTCGAACAGACATGACATGCACATCTTCTGGTGAACAGGTAAGTCCTTTGACAATGCTTTTTGCTTTAGATTTGGATGTGCCTGTTGAAAACAAGGACAAGAGAAGCTAAGAAGGGCAAGGGACAGAAAACTCCCAGGGAGGAAGGTCTCAAACGGAGAAACAGCGATACGGGGAAGAAAAAGTCGCAATTGAGAAAGATCGGATACGACCAAAGGTGAGCAAGAACTAGAAACGACGCACGAAGAAGAGGGAGGAACAGGACAGAAGAGAGGAGCAGTGAAGAAAACAAAGGAACGAGGGTGTATTCGAAATAAGAAAGGGACAACAACGATCAATGCCATTGTCGTTGTAGAGTCTGTTGATAATCGAGACCGTCACCACCACGCGACGCCAGTTCCGTGATTACCGTGATCGTTACGGCTTCCCTATCATCAGCACGTTTACCGTTGTCGGACCACGCCACCATTGCTGTGCTAGTCATCCTTGCAGCCGTGTCGCGCCAATATAGTCATCGTCCGCGAGGATAAGTAATCGACGACAGCTCTCCTACTAATTTTCCTCCACCTTTCTTCTCGTTCTTCTCCTTCTTTCTTTTTCCTCTCTTTGTCTTCTTCCTCTTCTTCTTCCTTTTTTCTCCTCTAGTTTTCTTCTTTTTTCTTTCGTTTTTTCTTCTTCCCCTTCTTCTTCTCCTTACGTTTCGCCCCCTCCCACCCTTCCCTTACTGCGCAATCGAATCAGAAGCCTTGATCCTGAAGCCCGAAACATTCCCAGATCTGATCTAGAAGCCCAACCCGTTCCCACACTGATACCATCCCAACATACCCCCTCGCGGTCCCATTTCCGTTCCTGCCCACGTCCCCATCTCTACCCCTCCCCAATTCCATCCCGCTCCGGCTCCATCCCGTTCCCATCCCCCTCCCATCCTGATCCCCCCCACTCCCGTCCCGCTCCAGTCCCAATCCCATCCCGCTCCCATCCCGCTCCCACCCCGCTACCATCCAGCTCCCAGACCACTCCCATCCCGATCCCCTCCCACCTCCATCCCGTTCCCACCCCGATCCTATCCCACCCCCATCCTGATCCCATTCCGCTCCTACCCGGTTCCCATCCCGCTCCCATCCCGTTTCCATCCCGATCCCACCCAGCTCACATCTCACTCCCATTCCGATCCCAGCCCGTTCCTATTTCGATCCCATCCCGCTCCCATCCCGATCCCACCCTGATCCAATCCCACTCTCATCCCGCCCCCATCACAAGCCTATCCCACCCACATCCCGACCCCACACTAATCCATTCCCACATCTCGATCCTACCCTTATCAAATCCCCCTTCATCCCGATCCCATACCGATCCCGTTCTGCTCCTATCCCACTCCCATCCCGATCCTATCCCGCCTCCTTCCCGATCCCACAGCACTCCCATCCAGCTCCCATCAAGCTCCCATACCGCTCCCACCCAGCTCCCTTCCCGCTCCTATCTCACTCCTATCTCGATTCCATCCCGCTCCTATCCCGCCTCCTTCTCGATCCCACTCTGCTCCCATCAGCTGCCAGCCTGCTCCCATACCGCTCCCACCTGGCTCCCTTCCCGCTCCTATCCCGCTCCCATCCCGCTCCCATCTCGCTCCCATCCCGCTCCTATCCCGCTCCCATTACGCTCCTATCCCACCCCCATCTCGCTCCCATCCCACCCCCATCCCGATCTCGTCCCACTCCTATCCCGGTCCCTCCCCACTCTGACCCATCTCTCTCCTACTTACCAACCCTGTTTTAGCCTCCTAGCCCTCCTCCCCTCACTTTCGAGCCATCTACCCATTCTCTTGCCCCCGCCCCCACCCACTAACCAATCCCTTTTTCCTCGACTTAAGCTCTCTCCTATAAGTGTACCTCTCATTCACTTACACGATCACCTTCTTGACACGCAACCAACCGTCTAAGCGCCTACCCCCTCACTCGCCCCGCTGCCTAAGCTCTCCCCGTTGGAACGCTTACTCAACCTTTCCCTCATAACAGACCAGGACAAATATTGAGCAACCGACGCTCGAACCACTATCAGTCACAACGATGGAGGGCATGGGAATTGAAACTCAAAATTGGCTCGTGGAACAGACAAGAACACCCCTCATCAAAACCACCGAACTCATTGACCATGGGGGAAACAATAAGGAAGAGATCGTGATCTACGAACGCCCCAAAGAATTAACCTCCAAGTCGGAAGAGCTCCACAAAAAGCACGCCGTCCCTTTCACCTTCGCCAAAAAAAGTCAGGAATTGGACAGACAGGCAAAATTGAAGTGGATATGGGAGAAATTGAAAAGCTTGGAACCAGTCCAAGGGATGAATCCCCAAGTCTCCTTCCACCCAGGATAAAGAAACGTCATTATGGTGCTATGCATGGATGTGACACTGGTTGCTTTCTTAACAAACAAATGTTTTACCTGCAACTCAGCAGTAGTCACAGTGCACCCATGGAAAAAGGCCGCAGATTATCAGCAGACACCCTTCAAATACATATAGGACTTGATAAAAAAACACTTATGGATTCAATTCGACCACGTGCCGGAAGGAATGCACGGCTGCGTCAAAGAAAGAGTAAAGATGGAATATGGAAATTTCAAAGAACTGCACTAGTGTAGCAACGCCGGACTTTCTCACGCCACAACATAACCAAATGACGGTGGTCCTGGACATAGGAGAAAGCCCGATGCCGCACACACCTGATGAGGGGGGGGTTCTGCTGGATGAAAAAGTGAACAGATTTGCGGTGTCCAGCAAGACCAACCCATTATGTTTCAAGTGCAGGCAAAGAGGACATCTGGGTACCGATCCCAACTGCCCCAAAACAAAGGAAAACTCGAAGCCCAAACCGCTCAGAACAACCAACCTACAAGAGGTAACAGACAAAAAAGGTTTTTGGTATGTACCGGGTGTACAATACGCAGGTTGGGTTTTCAACGATAACATGGAGGTCCCGGACTGGGTATGGATCCTAGATAGTGAACCAACCCCGAGGCCGAAAGCATACCCCCCCTTATGACAGCAGATGGCAATCAATGAAGGTAGAAAGGAAATCCCCCAGGTGTTTTACCAAGGATCCAACAATAAACGCGGAAAACGTCAAGCAAGAGATTTGGGAAAGAGATTTGTGCGCGGTTTTGCAGTCGGTGCAGGAAAAGGAAGAAATGAAATGGGTAGAAGTGGTCAAGCAAAAGAGGGAATGGGAAAACGAGAAGGAGAACAACGTAGAGCAAAACACGTACACAAGAAGAACGTTGAAAAACCAAGCAAAAACCACCCAGACACAGGACCAGGAAACAGCGAAAGAAGTTGGACAACAGGTAGAAGGGATGCCAGAATTGGATCTCATGGGGGGATCAGCGACCTGGGACCCCGCGGTGGGAGAAAAGAGGAAACACCACGAGGGACAACAGGACAGGGACACACCGGACTCGGAAGAGGATCGGGAGGAGTGGTATGTCCCGTGGAGCGGCCGCCAAGAAAGTGAACTGGTGGAATTCATCCAGAACTTTGAGAAGAAAAGACAAGCGAAGTATGAACTCCAAATGATCCTGTACAAGGAGGAGCAAAAGACCAAACAAAGGGCAGAAGCAGCGAACCCCACACAGGTCATCCCACTTTCGGAGAAACCCGTCGCTCCCTTGGAAAGAGAAGGAGAGTTGGCAGCCTTTTATGCAGAGAAATACTACGCAGCAAAGGAGGACACAAGCATGGAAGTGGAGGAATACAACAACAGTGGGAAGGGAAAACTCCACCTCCAAAGAACCAAGCTGCCCACCTGCAAAACCACCGCGACACGCAGCAACTAGAGCGAAGGCCAGTTACAACCAGACCTGAGCCAAAGGAATACTCACTAGCGCACCTGGGCATTGAGGTGGAGTCCCTCCAGGCGCAATGCGGAAGGCTTAGCGAGCTCGATGAGGAGATGAGCCGTCGCACGGTGGTGGTGCAAGACCTGCAGTACCGGGGTCACAACGACTTCTGGGAAAGAGCGAGGAAAGAAGCCAATCTTCTGCTTCCATCCAGAGCAATAATACCCGTTCAACAGGATATCACAAGTGGGGAGTGGCAGGTAGCGATGCGCAAAGACTTCACGGTGCCCAAGCTACGGGGACAGAAATGCAGCGATGCGTTGAAAGGAATCACAAAGGGGAAGGAACCAAAATTCACAGGAATTGCAGGTAAGCAGGCATCAGAAGAGGAACCGAAGGGGGCAAGAGCCATTGGCAAAACGGAGAAAAATCCCCGATATGACGCAAAACCAATTATAGCCTGTTTCGACCAACAAACAAAACTGGCTGAGGGTTGGCAATGGAGACCTTGGTGGACGGTACCAAGCTTGCCCATCACAACATTGGGGAATGAAGCAACTACGACCCAGAATGCGGCAAGCCTGGCTACGCTAGCAGGAGCAGGGGTCATGATTTTGGAGGAGGAGGAACTGCTGGAGAAATTATTCCCACTAGAGGACGAGACAGAGGGTAGCTCTTCTTGCGTATCTTAAACCAATATAACCAAACTAAGAACAGAAATGTAGCAATCAATTAATGAAGGGTTCAAGGGGGGACCTAGTCATCCAGTCTTGGAACGTAAGGGGGCTGGCAACAATTCTGTCCAACCCAAAAAAATGGCACTGCTTTATGACAACGGCTGGATGGAACGGCCCCAACCCCCCGGACATTCTATGTCTCCAGGAAACGCACCTAGCTAACTCCCAGGCCCACACAACCGTAAGAGAGGAGATCCTTAGAAGAATGGGAAACTAGAAGGCTATACTAGTAGCCCATAGCCCTAGCCCTGCCTCAGCCACAGTGCTCATTTTAGCACATACGAACATAGAAGCAGCCCATTTCATGGTAGTCACATCCACCATAGCAGATCCTTCAGACGGTAGATGGGCCATACTAGACTTTTCTTACAGGGAAGAAGAGCTCACAATTATAAACATTTGTGCCCCCAATTCAACGAATAACAGAATAGAGTTTCTTAAGGAAATCAGTGACTTTTATCCGCCCCAAAGACATACACAGTTCAGTGCCCATATTTGGATAGGATATCCTGGGCCAACGACTCCTCTGAAGATCCTTCCACGTCAGTCTTGTCCGAACTTATGGTACAAAAAAACCTAAAGGATCCCTACATGATGGTAAATCCGTCCAAAAAAGACCACATGTATCAGGAAAACGTCTCAGGGAAGAACAACCTTCTCAAGAATTGATTTTTTTCTCATATCTGAAACCTTAGAGGGAGTTGCCTTGGAAAGTTCTATTGGGAGGTTACCGTACTATGACGGCTTCGACCATAATCCAATCTCTATCAACCTCTCACTCTCCCTTGACAACTCCCCAGGGAGGAGTTTCTTTAAACTTAATACATCACTCCTTAATCTAGATACTTTCAGACAAGGCCTACAAAGCAAATGGGCAGAATTAAGGGATAATTTTAGGGAGGGGGAAATTCTTAATTATCTACCACCTGCAATCCAGCGACTAGGAGAGTGGGCGAGCCTTTTCTTGAGGAAGCAAGCCAGAAGGAGGAGGGCAAGATAAGAAAATCTGGAAGCAATAGTAGAACTCGCAAAATATAACCTCATTGCTAACCCGGGGGCGCCACTATACGAACAACTCATGGAAGAAGCCAGAGCGGAACTTAGGCAATGGGCGGACTGGAAGAGACAAGGAGTAGCCATTAGAGCTAGACTGAGAGATTGGGAAAGCAATGAAGCCATGACAAAATTCTTATTCCAGAGTAGCTTCGGATTTCTATCAATGCCTCTACACATCCAAGACTAATCCCGATAATGCCAATAACACACAGAAAGCAAGAGAAAATTTTTTGAAACATTTGGACAAAAGTCTTAAACAGGAAGCCATCACTTTCCTACAAAAGGACATCTCAAAGGTGGAACTCTTTGAAGCTCTCAAGAGTATGCAACCAAACAAAACCCCGGGAAGGGACGGTCTCCCGAAAGAGTTTTGGCAGAACAATTGGCACTTAATGGATGACGCAATCACAACCTTTTTTAAGGAAGCGTTCAATAGAGGCTCTCTGGGAGAAGAATTCAGCATGGGCGTGGTCACCCTCCTGTACAAAAAAGGGGACAAAGCAGACATAAGGAACTACACACCTATAACCGTTTTGCCCGTGGTGTACAAAATCTTAGCCAAAGCCCTAGCTAATAGAATAAGGAACATAACAGATAAATGCTTCCACCTAGACCGAACAGGATTCATTCGGGGGAGATACATTCTCGACAACGTGGTCTGCCTAAATGAAGCTACCAAAATTATAAAGGATAAAAAAATACAAGCAGCCCTACTCTTCTTCGACTTTGAAAAAGCGTATGACCAAGTTAACTGGGATTTCCTATAGCAAAGCATGGAAAAGATGGGGGTAGGGCCAAATTTCAGAAAGTGGATAAGAGTCCTATACGGGGACGCCAGAGGGATGGTGCAAGTCAATGGCCACCTCTCAGAAACGTATAAAATGTCTAGATCTGTCAGACAAGGGGACCCGCTAGCAGCACCAATTTTCCTTTTCGTAATGGAAGCAATAGTCGTTTTCCTCCGCAAAGACCCGTCCATAGAAAGACTTTCAGCCCAACATGATGGAAAGTTGCTCCCCATCCCTACGATGATGCTTGTCGCGGACGACCTCGTGGTGCTTATCCGAGCGTCGGATTCGTTCTTTTTAGCACTCACGAAAAGCAATGCAAGCTTTCTAGTTAGCACCGGAAATGAAGATCAACTAGAATAAAATAGCAGGTTGGTGGTTGTCTTCTTCTGACCCGCCCCCCCAGACTCAGGACACCCGCGGACTACAGTGGTTGGACGCGCAGCACCCGGTGCGTTTCTTGGGTATCCAAGTGTCAGTAAATGGAACCAGCAAGACTTCAGGTTCCAGCCTTCTGGTTAAGATGACAAACAAACTAGCTAGGTGGCAAGCAACGAGTGTCTCACTCATGGGGAGGGTCCTCGTACTCAATACTTTGATACTTTCCATGGGTTAGCATGTGGCATCTCTTTGGAATCCCCCCACAAGTTTCTTCACCACCCTCAAGAGGAAACTAGGAGCCTATCTCTGGACAGGAGACGTGGCCAAAAGGACAAATATATTACCAAAGTAGCCTGGAAGTATATTACCAGACCAAAGGCACTAGGAGGGCTTGGCCTGTTAAACCCAGCAGCCCAATTCCAAGCACTGCAATTAAACTGGGTAATCAAGCTGTTATTTAACAGAGAACTACCATGGCACAACATGGCCCTTCATCCAATTCGCAACCTACTACCATTCAAAGTAGATCTTGCCATAGAAGGTTGTCATGGGATCCTCAACCCAGCATGGAATCCCAGACGTAAAGAAAACAGCAAGCTGATAGATGGAAGGGATCCGCCCAGCGAACACTGGTCCACTCTGATCTCGCACTGGAGAGTATGCTTTCCCCAAAAAGTCAGGTCCCCACAGACCAGGGAGGAAGTGTTGAGACAGCCCCTATTCGGAAACCCCTTGCTAAAGGACAAAAACCAAACACCTTGGGCCCTAAACTCCAAGGGTAGGAAGTGGAGAAAATGGATTGGCAATTGAGTTTGGAAGGTCGATCATTTATGGAACTCGGAAGAAAATAGATGGAAGACAACCCAAGAACTTAGAGCCAAATTAAAAGGAGTACACAACCTAAAGGAACAACTTGAAAGCCTACTGGAAAGTGTCCCCCTGAAATGGGAATTATTACGAAGATCCAAGACCAAATGGTCATTAGGAGACTGGGCCACAAAAAAGGGACCAGCCCTTCCGACCGAAGGGTACAAACTAATCAAGGTACTAGACACAGAAGGAGGTTGGGCGGAATTCGAGGCCTTTGAACTGATAAACGCGCACAAAACCTGGGCAAAACCAGGCAAAGCAACTGAACAAAGGGCAATAATCATACTCAAAAACTTTAACAAGGTCAGAACATGCTCACCCAGAATCAGTCGTAAAAGGACTTCACTTAACGATCAAGGCCAGAAGAAACCCTGGATCTATAGGCCCGACCAGGACATAAAAGACTTAGAAGTAGATCCAGCGGAATGGGGTTGGTTCATTCCCAGGGGAGAAAGAGGCACAAGAAAGCTCACACCGATCTATGACTACGAAGTCAAAGCAGGATATAGGTTAAGAAATCAAACAGAAGATCCCCAATGGATTATTACAGCAAGATGGAAGAAAAATGTGGGAGAAAATGCAGGTTGAGCGAGTCAACCAATGTTGGGCAAAATAAGGAAGCAAGAGGAGCATCAGCAACAACTGGTATGGTGCAAAATCTGCAGTGAGAACGTTGAAGAATCGCTGATACATTGCCTTATACACTGCCAACGTGCCCAAGAACTCTGGGGCAGAACAAAATCTCTGTGGGTCAACCTAACAGATCATGCCTACCCCTTGAATACAACTTATTTGCTGTCAGGGAGGATAGAAGAAGAAGACCTTGAAGAGGAATAAATTATTCAACCGGACCTTCTGAGGAGAGCGACCCTTTGGGTAATCTGGAAAACAAGGTGCAAAGGTACCTTGGCTGGCCAAAATACCAACGTAGATGAGAAGTGGACTGAAACCAAAACCATAATTCAAACAGAGATAAGAGCCCAGTGGAATAGAGAACAAAAAGTGCAACAGAAAATCTTGCAACCAGAAAAGAGAGAAATGAGCCAGAGAAACTTCGAAAAAATCTGGCTCGGCAAGAATAGATTTGCGGAAATCGATAAGGGCATCATCCACTTCAAGAACTGGGACTTACCTGCTGAATACATAGTCTGTGAACAAGAAGGCGTTGCTCTCACGCAATAGAGGGACATTTTCAAACACAGTCACAGCGCGCTAGAAAACCGCACGGAAACCAGAGTTCTGCAAGTAACCCCATGCTCACGTCTGAGCCAAGATACCCACCCCCCCAGACCCCCTAATCACATTTTCTTTCCTTCGCCCGTCATATCTCCTCCAATTTCCCCCCTCGTCTAACAGCCCTGTTCAGTTTCAGATGGCAGTGGAAGGGGTGCGCTCTGATTGGAAGAGGAAGAACACGGGACATCTGGAAGGCAAAAAAGTGAAAGGTAAGGCTGTGGTCTATCTGGAAGGAAAGGTGCTGCAGAACTTTTGAAGGCCGTGCACCCCCAAGGGAGAAGGTACGGGAGGAGGCAAGATCTTCGAGTCAAGCAGAAACCCTTGGTATATGGTACAAAACGAGAAAGCCCATGCCTGATGATGAAGAACACGAGAGGAGAACAAAAAAAAGAAGTCTTGACAGAAAGGATGGCAGGAGGCAAGGTGGCAACGCTGACTGACTTCCATATACGATGGAAAGACCGGCTAAATTCTGATACTGGGTGGAAAAGACAAGGGCTCCAGGTACCAAATGAATAAGTCCCACTGCAGACCATATGAGCTGACGGGCTAAGGTGGTTCGGGGGATTCCTTGCAAAACTTCAAGAGGAGGGTTTAGGGT